AGAGCGGTAGCGGGAGTTGGCGCCGCCTTAGCTCATCGGCTTCGCGAGGGCTCCTCGAGGGGCCAGGACCTGTCCCCGCCCAGACCCCTGCACCTGGCGGATTCCTCTCTTCCCGAGTGTCCTCACGACGTGCCCCCGGACGCTCCCTACCGCTCTGCGGCCGCGCCACTGCTGTAACACCACACCCCCAGGGGGGTCTTCCGGTGCGCCCACCGCCCAAAACCCCCGCTTGGGGCGCCGACATTATTCTTTACTTTACACTGCCGACGGTGGCCGAATTTGTTTGTGTCTTTCAGCTCCAGTGGACAGGAGCCACTGCTCTCTGATCCTGGGTTTTACCAGCAATCCAAATCTCCTTGTTTCCATTTCTATCCTTTTCTCCACGATGAACATTCATGGAAGTAGCCGCCAAAGAGTGGTGATGTTGGAAACGTGCAGAAGGCACGGTTCCGATCTTCCCCAATAGGTTGTTATCTTAACCAGCAGTCTAGGCTGCCTCCTGAGAGGGGTCAGAAGCTGGGGGAGGTGGTGGTGGGGAGTGATAAAGGAGTTTTAGGACCCCTGGCTCAGTCTGAGTGGGGAAGCCATCCCTCTGGGTCAGGTCAGTTAAGGCTCTGCCTGCTGAGGCCAATTCCAGCCTTTCCCACTAGGAATGATCCGTGTCAGATAATGCCGGATCCCGTTTTCAATTGGATTCCACTCTGGCTTCCAATCATGGCCCCCAGATTAGATTTTAGCTGGATTCTGAGAGTATTGGTTGTCTGAAGTTTGTATTGACTAGGGGCCACCACGTGCGATGGAACTGATTATAGTAGTGAATGACACACACTTTCTGTTGTGGATCGAGAGGACTGGTACTCAGCATTCATTTCAAGCTTCGTCCTCCTCCGAGTGTGTCTTCCTGATTTGCAGAGGTAGGACACCTAAAAACTACATTACCCAGACTTCCTTGCAGCTAGGGTTCTGTATGCAAGTTCGGCTCCGCCAATTAGATTCACTCAGAGAAGACTTTGGAGGCAGAGCGTTTGACTGTTGCTTTTGGCAGGTCTAGACCCTGAGATGTGGGATTTTTCTGTTTTTGTTTTTCAACAACTTTCCAATGTCCAATCCTTAGCTCCCTGAGGGTAGAGAGCAGGGGTGGTGGGTCAGGTGCTTCCTTGGTATCTTCTTGACGTGATGATTGCCGTGGCAGTCTTCGAATTCCCTACTTGCTTGATTGCGTAGAAATAGCAGCTCCCTGTGGGCCAGGCCCAAATCCACCCCCCACCAAAACCCTTCCCCACACCTGTTTCTCTCCCTCTATCTTCCCTTTCTCAGTAAATGATACCGTCATTCACCCAGTTGCTCAAACTAAAAACCCAGGAGTTGCCCTGATTACTTAGTGTTTCAACAGTCCCCCCATATCCATTGCAAATCCTGTTGAATCTATATCCGGTACATACCCAAATCTGGCCACTCTTCTTCATCACCACTGCTAGCACCCTGATCCAGGCCACCATCACATTTATCCTGGGCTCTGATAATACAGTCCTTTCTTTCCCTGCTTCCCTTCTTGCCCCATGATAATCCATTTTCCCTATAGCTGCAGAACATCCTTTTAAAATCATAAATCAGTTCACAGCCCTGCTTAAAAATCCTCAAGTGGCCTCCCATTACATTTAGAGTACATTCCAAATCTTTGCTATAGCCCAAGAGGCCATGTGATGGGACCCTCTCTCCGTGTCCCCTCTGGCTCACAATGCTCTGGTCATTCTGCCCTTCTTGCACTTCCTCACATCCAGCTGTACCTGCCTCTGGGCCTTTGCCCTTGAAGGAACTTCTGCCTGGAATGTTTTCCCCTCAGATCTTTAAGTGGCTGGTTCCCTCTTATCACTGATGTCTTAGTTCAGTTGTTATCTCCTCAGAGAAGCTTTTCTCACCGGCTCTATTGAAAGTTGTCCCTGAACCCTTCACTGTCATACTTACAGCATTGATCACTGTCTGTACAAAACTATTTAGTTACATATTTATTCTTTTCATTGTCTGGGTCTTCAACTAGAAAAGAACCACGATGAAAACAGGGATTCTATATATGTCTTGTTTATGCTCTGTCTCTCCTACTTCTGCACAGAGTAGATGCTCAAAAAAAACACAAAAAACCAAAAAACCAAAAACTTTTGAGTTAATTAAATTCTTCCTATCTCAGTCTCATTCTAGGGTGCATTTGGGGTCTTATGAGAACATAAAGAGTTTGAAGTGTTATCACAATGTTAAGTAACATTATTATGTTAATAATGATATACGTAGTGGAGAAAAGGTGAGGACTGGGGATGAAACTCAAGAGACTGGTCCTTCCTCCCCACAGTCAGGAGCCACTGGGGTGGGAGGAGGCAGGGATGGAATCTTTCATGAACCCCGCTCACGTTTTTTCTGTGCTCAGTCCTCCATCCTTCTCAGGACCCCCCCAGCTCCTTGCCCATTCTATACCTTCTTTCCTGTTGTGTGTCCAGAGCTGCCCCTTGAGTAGCTGCACCTCCCCGTTCATCCTCGCGGGGGGGGGGGGGGTGTTGCCTAATCTCCAGACATGTCCAAGGAATCAGTCTCTTCTGCTCCTTCCTTTCTTGCCCCCAAAGACAAGCCCAGAAGCCCTTTTGTGTTAAAGATTTAGTTGCTAATCACTGGTGAGGATAGTAACAAAAAGTTGCCAAGTTCCTGCAGCTGTGATCTCTTAATCTGTATGGTTCCTAACTCCCGCTGAGAGAAACCTTTGTAAAGGAAAGCGTCCTGGTGGCGAATACTGAGGCACAAATGAGGTGCGTGTCCCTTTCTTTCCAATAAGAGCCATGAGGAGCCAAGGGGCACCCCACCCCCACCCAGACCTCAGTATAAACCACTGGGACCCTTTCCTCTTTGCTGCTTTCTCTCCTTATCATTGGTGCCTGGGTAACCTAAGGGCCTCTGGTTCTCTGCCCTTCTGCTGTGTCTTGGAGCTATCTCTTCTGGGTCCCTGCTCACAGGATTTGCCTGTGGCCAGACAGAAAGTTACTGGGGTTAGTACTTCCTCTGTGGGGTTCCCACAAGTCCTGCTAGGAAAAGTGGGTGTTGCTCTGAGTTCACTCCTGCTGCAGACAACAGCCACGGGAAGAGAAATTTTCTAGCTCCCACGGGCAAGGGATGGCATGCAGGGTGTCTGAAATTCCTGGGGCTCAGGCCTCCAGGTTTAAATAGTTTCCAAGTAATCTGGCAAGCTCGGGTGCCCCCCTGTGGCTCTGAGTGGAATGTGTCCAATCGACTTCGCGGGGAGGTGATCAGAGAACGTGGTGGGGGGAACATCCTCTGTTGTCTTGCTCCTCAAACTCAGGTCTGGTCCACCCACCAGCAGCATCAGCATCTCAGGTCTCACTCCACACCTACTGCATCAGAATCTGCACTCTTAACAAGATTTGCACATTGAAGTTTGAAAGGCACTGCTCTGGCAGCCCCCAGGATGGCCCTAAGAAAAAAAAAGAAAAGCTCTTCTTTTCTCACTCCATAAGGAGATGCTGAGTCCACCACACACCATGCAGCCCCCAGGTAATGTTGCCTCCCCTAAGGGACTAGAGAAATGGAATAGGCCACCCATTTCCATACTCCTAACCACTTCCCAAGGAGCTTTTCCTGCACCGACATCCTTGGTTCCCCCTTGGTCTGTGGATTCACCTGTTCAAATCCAGGCAGCTGGGCTGAGTGCCGTGAGCTTTACGTGACTCAGTCCTCTCCTCCCAGAACTCATAACATTTATCTTTTAGAGCTGTTTTGGTAAAGCACATGGCATGTACAGCAGAAGGTCTGAGCGGTGTACTGTTCTGCTCTCCTTCCTAAGGCAACCGAACCCCTGTGGTAGAGGAAATGGCTCAGTTACATAAGCACCCATTATGGGGTTACCCCAAGAGTGCTGGTCTAGTTCTCTGGTTCCCCCAACATTTCTGCACCATGCCTCCTTCAGATTGCTTCTCTAAACCATCTGGATCTAAGTTAAATATTCTCTGGGGAGCTTAGATTTCCCCAAAGCAATGTATCTTCTTGCATGGAGTCTGGATCCCACTCAGGGGTCAGCAATAAAAAGACTGTTGAATTAAAGATCAGGTGCTCCGGTACTTCCTTCTCTGCTCCTGTGACCTCAGGAGGGTTGCAAACAGGTGTGTTCATACTTGCCCTTCCTTCTTTCAGGGTTAGATAGGGTGCCTGGAGACAGTGTGTGCCTGGAAACTTTGGTAACTGTGAAGCACTTTTGATCATTGTAAAGCTTTTTTTTAAAAAATATAAGAATTGCTACTGTAACTTAAAAAGCTAACCTTCAGATGGAACTCCAGTGTCTTTATAAAGCTCTCAAAGGCTGGAAAGAAGGTGAACTCCGACAGTTGAGATGTGCTCAGGGAGCATAGCATGTTTCAGTGTGGGAATGTTCATGTTTCTAGAAGCTCAAGGAGGTGGTGTAAGTGTGTGTCATTGTGGGGGACAGGGAGTGCTCCCCACAGACTGAAACTGTTGCAGTGGAGTGTGTGAAAGTGGCGAGGCTCATGTGTCCAGTGTGTGTGAGTGTGGCTCAGCTCCTACTGAGTTGAGAGACCTGGGTTCTGGTTTGGTGGCCTTGAACCCATCCCTCAGACCTTCCTGAGCCTGTCTCCTCATTTTTAAATGACAGACTTGGGCTGATTGATTTCTAAGTTCTCTCCTAGCTCTGTCACGCTAATAAGCATCCAGCTTGAGCATGGGGGGCCTTTGGCTGCTGGTTTTACTGTCGAATTTCATTTCTGGGTCTCTGTACCTGAGTTGCTGCTCACCAAAGCGCTGGAGTTTGGCTTTTTGGAAATTCTCTCTTCCTCACTGAAAACGCAGGAGGCTTGAGCGTGAAACTCACTCATCAAAAAGAAAACACACACACACATACACACAGAGCAAGAAACCACAGGGCTTATCAGCCTGTCGTCATCGAGCAGACGAGAATAGTGCAGAACTCTAGGCAGAGAGGAAATGAACTTGAGAGAAGGGGGAACATAGAGCAGAGAGGAGAGAAAGAGGGCGGGAGTGGAAGCAGAGAGCTGAAGCTCAGGGGCCCAGGATGGTGGGAAGATGGAGGATGTGGCGGTGAAGCAGGGCTTCCTGTACCTTCAGCAGCAGCAGACTTTTGGGAAGGTAGGAAGAGCACGGCTGGGCTGGGGCTGAGCCGAGGGGCTGGGGGGCTGCTAGAGACTTCCCTGGGGAGGAGAGGAGGCCCCGGAATGTTCCCAAACCCTTATGGGATGGTGGAGACTGTGCCATCTACCACATTGGGCCCAGAGTACAAGCTTGGGAGGGCTCTTGCCTTAGCAGCTGTTGCCTCTGCGAGCTGGCTCCAAACTGTGCTCTTTGCTGACAGCCATTGCTCCGGGAGGAGGGGGAAAAAGAGGCTCTGACTCTGCTTTTCTTGCCTTTCTTGTTCTGTGGTGACGTCTTCTCACCGGGACACCCTGGGAGGGAATGGAAGGCACAGTGGAGGGGATACTTCAGGGTTGCCGTGGAGGTTCCTTCCTCCTCTCCTGCCCCAGTGGGGTACGTTTGGCTGCTATTGGACTTGAACTGGGGTCTCTGGGAGCCAGGGCCCCATTGTGCCCAAACTCCTTTTCCTTCTTTGGCCTCCTTGAATGAGGACGTCTTCCTTCCCTCAGCGGACACACCCCGGGGTTCCTCTCTCTGTCTCTTTCATAGCCTAACTTGTCAGAGGATGAGGCGGGAAGGTTCAGGAGGGTCAGCTGAGGTTCCGGGGGACAGGGCCTTCTATGGGGCCTCACAGAGAATGAGAAGCGTGCTCCCCAGTCTGGGCCCTTGGGCTGCCCTCCTCAGCCCTCTGGGCTCCGGGACTCGCAGGTTTTCTGCCTCTTGACTTGGATCCCCTGGGTTGGGCCTGCCCGGCCTCCCTGCAGTCGCCTCCATGGGGCTCACTCCTGTGCCTTTCTTGCCTTTGGCTTCCTCTCTGCTGTCATTGTAGGCCTCTTATTGGATTGCTTGGGGTGCATCTCCAATGCTTTCTAACTCCTAAGGCCTCTGTTAGGCTCTCTGCCTCCTTGGGTCTCCCCCGACCTTCACCTCTGTCTCCCCCGGGTCCTTCTCTCCCCGCTGGGCACCATCTCTCCATCGCCCCACCTGCTACGCATCTGGGGGCAGAAATGGCGCCGGTTCGGGGCGGCGCTGTACGGAGGGTCGGGCTGCGCCCTGGCCCGGCTGGAGCTCCAGGAGGGCCCGGAGAAGCCTCGCCGGGGAGAGGCCCCCCGGAAGATCATCCGCCTCAGTGACTGCCTGCGGGTGGCTGAGGCCGGAGGGGAGGTCAGCAGCCCCCGGGATACCAGCACCTTCTTCCTGGAGACTACGGAGCGCCTGTACGCGCTGGCGGCCCCCACTGCAGAGCGGGGTGACTGGATACAGGCCATCTGCCTCCTGGCCTTCCCCGTGAGTCGCCCAGGGCTGTAGAAAGGGCACGGGGCACTGGATGCTTGCCGTGGGCAGATGTCGTGAGAGCCAAGGTCAGGATGCTGGAGGTGGTTCCTTGGTGGGGGTGAGGGATCCCAGTTCAGAATAAAGACAGGGCAGTAGGCTGAGTGTGTTTTGAAAGAAAGCTTGCGGTGGCCAGTGGTGGGCTTGGGATTGGCGATGGTGGTGAGTCTTGGGCCTTCCCCGCCAGTGCCAGAGGAAGGAGCTGAAGGGGAAGGGCGGCCGGCCCCGCATGGAGGAGAATGAATTGTACAGCAGTGCGACCACAGGTGAGGGCCCTGCCTTTGCTCCCCGGGTGCTCTCTCCAGGGCGTGGTGGGGAGGAGGTGAGGGCTGGCCGGCTGCCGGCTCAGTCTTCCTGCCTTGTGGCTGCCCCCGGCCCCGGCCAGCCCCCTCATCAGTCTCTCCGCATCGCTGCTTCCGGCACAGCCCAAGGTCGGGGAGGCTGGCCTGCCTGAAATGTCAGCCCTGCACCCTTGGCCCACTCCCTCTTGTGCAGGCCCTGCTGGTGGGAAAGGGCCCGGCTGAGGGGTCCAGGTGAAGGTGGGGCTCTTGAACTCTCCCTTGTTGGCACCCGAGCGATTGTCTGTGAAAAGAATGGTTTTCTTTCTGTGGATTTGAGCTGTCCTGCGGCAAGGGAGCTTTTTGCTGACCAGGCAAGGCCCCTCCTGCTCTCTGTCTAGCCCTCGGGGTGGGCGCGTGGGGAGAGCAGGTGGACATGGCGGGGGGGACATCCAGGCTCCACCTCTCGGAGGGCACCTGATGGCATGGGCAGGGGCTGGGTAGGCTGAGAGCTGGGAGGGCAGGGTCAGCTGCATCTGCAGCTGTGACAGTCGGGACTGGGGAGGCAGCTGGCTTGGGGAGAGAGATGAGATGGAGATAAGGCTGTGGCTCTGGTGAGAGGGGCAGGAAGGATGTGGGTACGGGGTCGGGGTGCGTGTGGCTAGGGCATGATGCCTCCTGAGGGAGGGCTGGAGGTTCCTGGCATTTTAGGGAGTCTGACCTGGCGCAGGGCAGCTCAGCATTCAGGATGCAGGCTGCAGGGTCATGGGGCCGTGGGTAATACTTTTTCTGGAGACCCGGCATGCTATGTAAAACAGGGCAGAGTTGAGACAGGTCGGCTGCTTCCCATGAACTGCCTCCTTGTCTACCCTCTTCTCCCCAGGGGCCCCCTGCAAGGAGTTTGCTGTGACTGTGAGACCCACAGAAGCCAGTGAGAGGTGCCGACTCTGGGGATCCTACACCCTCCGGGCCGGGGAGAGTGCCCTGGAGCTGTGGGGCGGCCCTCAGTTGGGCACCCAGCTGTATGAATGGCCCTACAGGTTCCTGCGGCGCTTTGGGCGGGACAAGGTGAGCTGGGGGGGGGGAGGGCTGCCGCGGGCAGGTGAGAGGAAGGATGAGCGGTGAGAGAAAAGAGAGCGTCAGGGAGAGGGTGAAGGGGCCCTCAAAGGAAGAGAGAATGGAGGAGGAAGAAACGACGAGATAAAGGCCAGCAGAAGAGAAACAGCACAGCCCAGGGGCTGGAGGAGAGAACCACGGCAGGGAGAAATGGTGGTCGAGGTGGGGGAGAAGGAAAGGAGAGGAAGAGGTGGGGAGAGGTGGGAGGGTGGAGAGTGGCTGGCGTGGTGGAGGATGAACTCTGCGTCGAGCTTCATACTCGATGGATGGGAGGAAGAAGGAGAAAAGATGAGAGAGGGCTTCGCTTGTAAGCAAAAGCATGGCGGGAGGGAAGGGGAAGCAGCTTGGGGAGAGGCTGGGGGGACAGGCTTGTGGTTGGGAGCTGGGTCCGGGAGTGGCAAGCAGCCCCGCCCAGTGGCCTGCGAGTCATCGGCTTTCTTCTCCACCCAGGCAACCTTTTCCTTTGAGGCAGGCCGGCGCTGCCTCTCAGGGGAGGGCAACTTTGAGTTTGAAACCCGGCAAGGCAATGAGATCTTCCTGGCCTTGGAAGAGGCCATCGCTGCCCAGAAGAACGCCTCCCCTCCTGGGCCCCCGACCCAGCCAGTCCCCAACCCTGCGGCGCTGCCCCGGCCGGAGAGTCCCTACTCCCGACCCCACGACTCACTCCCACCACTATCGCCCACCACCGTCAGGGTTCCTGCCCCCCGGCTGCAGCGGGGCCCAGAGGGGGAGTACGCGGTGCCCTTCGATGCAGTGGTACAGAACCTGCGGAAGAGCTTGAGGGGCATCCTGGCCGTCCCTCCCCAGGCCCAGGCCGACCCTCTGTACGAGAGCATCGAGGAGCACCCGCCCTCCCGACACGACCACATATACGATGAGCCTGAGGGGGTGGCCGCCCTGTCCCTGTATGACAGCCCACAGGAGATCCGGGGTGAGGCCTGGAGGGGGCAAGCCGCAGCTGACAGGGACCCCAGCGGCCTCCAGCATGTCTACCCAGCGGGACAGGACTTTGCTGCCTCTGGCTGGCCACAGGGGACTGAGTATGACAATGTCATGGTACTTAAGAAAGGCCCAAAGTGATGGAGGGTGGAGGAGATGCGGACTCCGTCAGCTGCCAGGGCTGAAGTGGTCCTGTGCCTGCTGGGCCGGGCTTAGAGGCTGGTGGTGGTGGGGGGGCAGGCGGGCCTCCCTTCTAGCTTCTGCGGCGACTCCTCCTGGCCACCGCATCCCAGGAACCTCCCTCCGCTCCTTCCAGAACCCTAGTCTTGGCCGCCTTAGTCTGGCCTGAGGAGTTGTCCCTCCCAGGGCCAGCTGGGTGAGTCACCATCCCAAAGCAGGAAGAGTACCCTGAAGAGACCCACACTTCTCCTACCCCTTTTCCACTTCCTCTTCCCCCCACCCCCCACCGGCCTAAATGGAACCTCCAGATTTAGGGCAGAGGACAAAAGGATGTCAGCAAGTGGCCCTGGCTCCTTGGCTCATGCAGGCCACCTGCCTGCTGATGTCCCCTTCAGGGGACAGCCGTGGCTCCGGGCAGCCTGGAGGATGGCTGCAGCTTCCTGCAGGTTTTGGACTTCTCTGTGGCATAAACGTTTCTGAAATATTTCTGTGCAGCATGAGTGTATGAGGCGGGGATGGGACAGGCACAGCCCTGCTGGGGGTGAATGCTTCAACCAGCCACCACTGACACCTCCTCTCCCAGCAGCAAAGTCCTCTCTGGGCCTAAGCTCCATCCCAAGCGTCATCTACCCACAGAGGTAGAAGTCTGTGCAAGTCAGGGCGCCCCAGGAAAGATCTTCAAGCATCTCTAACCCTTTGCTGGGGTAGGGTCAACACCAGAAAAATAGCGGGGAAGCTGTGTGTGTGTGTGTGAGTAAACCTGGACTGGAAGATAGGCAAGAGTTGAGCCTCTTCAGCGTTAGAAATGGAACTACTCCCACTCAATCCCTTGCCTTCCTGAGACTTGCCCTCTTCGTCTGTAAACTGACTCCATGTAGGCACTGAGAACCCTTCCTGCTCTGAACTTCCCCATTGGCCCTTGTATCCCATTTCCCCACAGGCAGGCTCTGTGCTGTCTCCTCTCATCAAAACCCGCTTCCATGGAAAGGGATGTCAGTATGTTTCTGCTACAGGCCAACTCAGCCAATATTATGGGGCACTGCGTGTAAGGCCTGCCCTGGCCTCACGATGCTTACAGTCTAGAGGAGGCTGAGATGAGGGCACACATGTCTATCAGAAAAGGTGGACGTAAGTGCCACAAGATGTGAATCAAGGCCTTGGGGATCAAGGGACATAGCTGTTTGTTGGGGGACCAAGAAAGTTTTCATGTCGAAGGTGGCATTTAAGGTGGACCTTCAAGGGTGGGAAGCAATGGGAAAAGAGCATCCCAGGTAGAAGAACGTGAATGGAGGTGTAGGGGGAGGTATGTATACACTCAGGAAAGAGTTCTACATTAAGAATGGAAGGGACATGGGACAATCTAGTTGGGAAGGCAGATCCTAACCGTGATGTGGAGGAATTTGTACCTAATTAAAGGGGAAGGAGGAATGACAAAGTCTTTTTTTTTTTTAACTCTTTTATTATGGAAAATTTCAAACATACACAAAAGCGGAAGGAGTAGTGTAATAAATGCCCATGAATCCATCAGTTAGCTTCAAGAATTATCAACACATGGCCAATCTTACTGACAAGGCTTTTGAGCAGGGCGTTGTGTAGAGCTGTGTGTTAGGTCAGTAACCCCGACAACCCTTGGAAAATGGTCTGGGGGCAGAGTGAGCTTCATTGGGAGGGGAAATGCAGAAAGACTGGGGATTCAAATGCCATTGTAGAGATGGGGCCTGCAGATCTTAGATTCACATTGGATGTGGAACACAGAGAAATAGGGTTTCGGGAAAGACTCAGTTCTGGGGAAGAAGGTGAGCTTAGTTTCTGACTGAGGCTAAGATGGCCTTACGCTATCCCGCTAGAGGAGTCTCCGCAGCAGCTGGAAAGGGGCTCTGGAGCCGGGGAGGGAAACAAGATACAGACCTGTGGGCTTCCCAGCCTCCCACGTGGGTTGTGATCGAGTATTATGTCACACCATGCCTTTGCTCCTTATTAAAGGAATTTGAGGCAATGGGTGAGCAGGCTGGAGACAGAGGGAGAAGCCTTCCAGGAGCCCTGACTCTTGTCTGTGCCAAAGGACTATTCCGGTTGCCACCACCCCACCCAATCCTAGCTTCAGAATACACTGGAGGCAGGCAGGCCTAATGCCTCTAAGGGGTTCAGTAGTTCCCCTCTCCAGGTGGGAGTTGGGGAGCTCTTAGGCAGGGATGCTCCCTCATTTCCTTCCGAGCACTTGAGGCAGACATCCCAGCGCATCCCAGCAGGGGGCAGTGTTAGCCTGTGGAAAAGGCCACTGGGGGCTTAGCTGCTGCCAGGCGTGGGGGCTTGGTCCCGAAGGAGGGAACTTTAGGATTTACTGCCCAAAAGAATGCGGGATCATCGGAAGAATCTGCATTTCAGGGCTTGTCCCTTCAGAACCTCAGAATCCCGCTTGGAGGACTGTGGAGCCTGCCTCCGAGAGGTGTGGGACCCTAAGCTGAAAATTGCTCCTCTCCTGGCCTCTCTCCTCCCTGCTGGGATCCGAGGAATTCGGAGCTTTTCCTTCTGAAGCTAGCTTTGCTCGAAAGGGAAAGTGGTTGATTGGGGCCCTGGGGAAAGGTGGGGAGGGCTGGTGGGGGCAGGGGAAGGGAGCGTTTGGGGAAGTGGGAGGGGCCATGAGAGTCCTGAGAATGCTGACCAAGCCCGCAGGGTCCCTCTCAGAAGATGTGACCGGGCGGGCGGGTCTTCCTGCAGAGAGCTGGGTCAGCCCATCCTCAATGGCACCGTCGCCTCGGACATGTGCATCATTCCTTAGTTCCCTCCCTGGGCCAGTCCCACCCCCCGACGTGCGTGGAGTCTGCGCGCCGAGTGGCTATACAGAAATGGATTCATGCAGGCGTGAGCCTCAGCCATGAATCTCCGCAAACAGAAACACAGAGATGAAGCCCTTCTTACAGTGTTTCTCTGGCAGCCTGCTGTCAAGGGGCAAATTCATACAGGAGAAAGCAGATTGGTCTCGAAGGGGAGGGGGCAATGTAAGACCAAGAGACAGCTCCACCAAGAAAGGGTCTCCTGGCTCCAGGTCTGCTACCTGGCAGCTCTCGATACCACGAGATCCTCTGCCGTGACCAGGGCACTTAGGGACTGCTTTTATTTGCTAATTATTATGCAGGGGTGACATCAGGGCAGATAAGAATGGCATCATGACTGGTGCCCAGCACAGAGATGCGTACACAGATTGGTGTAACTGTGTGTTCACACACACAAGCATGCTATATCATTCTTCATGTTTCTTTTTTTCCCTCTCTGCCTCCCCTCGTATAACATTTTCTTTCTTCCAGAGCATAGCAGTGGTGTGGTGTGGGTGTGTGTATGTTCATGTGTGTGCTCTTGGCCCCTGGTCCATCCCATAAGCTTGCTCCCAGGCTGTGGTGGGGGCGGCCAGGGCCCCCTGGTGAATTCCCACCTTGGAGCTTCAGAATAATCCATGACCCAGGTTGCCTGGGCCTCTCTGCTCACTCAGACTCCTCCCTGATGGCTGCGCATAGGCTGTCGCTGCCACCACCTTTCGGCCGTGATGCTAACCAGCCTCCTGCCTCCTGCCTCGTGGGCGCTGATTCAATTAGCCAAGGTGCCCGCCTCCTGCCAGAGCCCTTTATAAAATCAGCAGGAGCAGCTGGAGATCTCAGGGAGGGTGCGGCTGGGAAGCGAGCAGGGAGGTCAGTGAGCTGGGAGGGGGAGGGGAAGGAATGAGGGGGTCTGGGAAGGGGTGTCTGATCTGATTAGGCATCAGGTTGGCTTCCCCCTGGCGGGCGGGGCTGTACATCACTGACCTGCTTCGCTCCTTAGCTCCCAGGCCCACCTGACACTGGCCAGCATGGAGCAGGGCCCGTCTATCTCCAGGCTCTGGCCAGGCCTGCCTCTTTCCTCCTTGCTCCCTCCCACCTCCAGAGCCCTCTTCTTTTTTTTCCCCTCCATCACAAGTATTTATTTTATTATTATTATTTTTTTAACATCTTTATTGGAGTATAATTGCTTTACAATGGTGTGTTAGTTTCTGCTTTATAACAAAATGAATCAGTTATACATATACATATGTTCCCATATCTCTTCCCTCTTGCGTCTCCCTCCCTCCCACCCTCCCTATCCCACCCCTCTAGGTGGTCACAGATCACGGAGCTGACCTCCCTGTGCCATGCGGCTGCTTCCCACTAGCTATCTATTTTATGTTTGGTAGTGTATATCTGTCCATGCCACTCTCTCACTTTGTCACAGCTTACCCTTCCCCCTCCCCATGTCCTCAAGTCCATGCTCTAGTAGGTCTGTGTCTTTATTCCCGTCTTACCCCTAGGTTCTTCATGACCTTTTTTTTTTTTTTTGTTAGATTCCATATATGCGTCTTAGCATATGGTATTTGTTTTTCTCTTTCTGACTTACTTCACTCTGTATGACAGACTCTAGGTCCATCCACCTCACTACAAATAACTCAATTTCGTTTCCTTTTATGACAGAGCCCTCTTCTTGACACCAGCTCCCGGATCCCTGGGCCAGAGGTGGCTGGTGGGTTCAGGAAGGGTCTGAGGGATTTGTTGGGGAGCTGGAGTCCCAGAGCTGGGTTAAGTAATTCTGGAACTTGCAGCCCAGGACCGTCTCAGGCTTGTCCTTTCAGGTGTCTGATCAGAAGGGGCTAGGCGGTGCCTGAGGTGTGCCTGAGGGGGCAACAGCATTTGGGTAATAATAGTGTTCTTGAATTTATACAGCTTTCCCTTACTTATAAAGCGCTCTGGGGGCAGCTGAGTAGAGTTGGTTAGGCGCACACACACATTCAAATTCTGGCTCTGCTCCTTGCTAGCTGTGTGTCGTTGGGTATCTGCTCTGTGCTTCTGTTTCCACATCTGTAAAATGGAGATAATATGTTTCTCAGAGGCTTGTTGTGAAGACTGAGTGAATGAATGAATGCATAGCTCCTAGAACGGTGCTTGGACCACAGAGCTCCGTGTTACCCACGACTGCTCTTTACCTCCCAGGGGTTCTGCCAGGTGGGCAGGCAGAGATGTCTGTCTCATAAGCCAGGGGATGGAGGCCCA